GTGGGACGCGGCCTCAGCATGGCCAGAGAAGCGGTGCGTCGGTGCGCGCCCAGGATCCGAACCCGGGCCGCCAGCAGCGGAGCACGCGCACTTAACCGCTAAGCCACCGGGCCAGCCCTCCAATAGTTTTTTTAAAAGCTCCTTTTCTATTCAATCAGCTAGAGAGTGTTTCTTGCTCACAATCATGTACACTGCCTGGTACTGTTTTCTTCAAATGTTTATCCCATTTTCTTGACTATGGATGTTGTTTCTATTTGCCATAGCTGGCATCTAGTGATTATGTGAGAAGAGGTTGTATTGCTGGGTGAAAGATACCAACACTGTCAACTGGATGTGAAATCATTCCTTTCCTGGGGCTTAGCAGCTGCAGAATCCACCCTCAATGTTTTAATCGATATGCAAAACACATTGAAGCCTGCTACTTGGTAGAAGCATAGGAGAGGACCTGAAAAAGCCTATTGCCTCAGAGATCCATTCTAATCTCAGTAAGTCTTCTCTTGAGAAGACTTGTCTTGTTTTTGAGGAGGAACTTCCCTAGAGTAGTCCTCCTGGACTCTCCTGAGCCTCCTTCAACTTCTTCACAAGGAAGAAGGTATGACTAATCTGACTGATGAGTTTAGAAAAAGTGTTATGTGATTAAGTCTCTTCTCACTTTGGTATAAACCTTGCCTGCAAAAAGGGTGCATTCTATTCTGCTTTCTCTACCAGACAGACCTAGAGTTTTGGGATCTAAAGCATTTGGGGGAGAAAGATACACAGCAAACCTATCTTTTCACAGACCTAAGCTATCTTCTCCACCTAAGTTTTTATCACTAATGAAGCTGACATTTTGATCTTTGTTGGCTTGACTCCTATGTTTGCTCCAGCTGGCCCCAAACTCCAGAGGGGAAGACTCTTCAGTTAAGAAGAGTCTTACCACACTGATCCTACCTCAGCAACGGTGCTTTCTTTCATGGGTTTATAGCTACAGATTTTTCTGGTTTTGTCTCTTTAGTTTGCTCTCTGGTTGTGCTCTTTTAAGAATTTTTGATACACTGATGGTACTTATTTTTCTTTTGCAATACTGTTGTGGCTTTACTCTTCTTTTAACATATTTTATGTCATTTCATGAGGTTTTGATAGATGAAATAGATGCATGTATCAGTCCCTCATATTTCACCCTTAAGTAGCTACTAACAAAGTGAGGACTAGAACACCTAAATCTATTGACTCAAGCTCTTTCCACTACTCCACACTAGTGTACAAGATATAGTCCTTACATTAGAGACCTAAAAAATCTTGTTATAATGGAGATAAACATTAAAGCAGAACTGAATACAAAGCAATATACCGTAAGTAACTAATGTACAGAGATTAAGTACCCAAGAATTATAAGAGGTCATATCAGGTTATAGAGAAGGGTTCACTGAAAAGGAGAAGCTTAAGATGACCTTGGAAGGGAACAAATAAATTTAATGAGGCATAACAAGGCAAATAAGAATGCGAAGGTGGAAAAGTGCAAAACAAATTCCATTACAGGGAGTATACCAGGTCAGAGTGGAAAAGAAAGCTAAGAAAGGGATCAAGTAAGAGACTCAAGTAAGATCAAGAGACATGTAAGACCAAAAAAGCCTCTTACTTCCATTCAAAACACATTTATACAATAGGTACTAAATCAACTGTAGATGAGTTATCTCCAAGGTAGAGGGGTCCATACACAGATGATATTTTATTACAATGAACTTAAAGTGTCCCTCAATCATCTACTACTATATATGTACATACATATGAAATAAATAAGTATGAGTGGAAAAAAAAATCAGCATATAAATAATTTAATTTCAAATTTCAGTAGGTGTTCATTTAAATTGTTTTTCATACATACCTCTGATATGAAAAGAGCCATCATCATTTCTCTCTACCACAAGATGATCAATATGAACTGTTACAGGAGCTGGTTCAAGGGATACTGCACTACTACGAGGACTGTCATCCTACAGGAAAGAGAAATAGTAACCGTATTGTTGTTAATAAAGTAAATGATAAAATTAAAATAATCATTTTCTTAACAAACATTACTTCAGTCAATAATATTTTTAATGAGTTAGAAATATATCTTAGTGAGAAAACTGCACATTCTATTTTGATATTTTCTAATTTCTGAGAAGGATCTCTCTGTCATTCAACCCAAAGACCAACAAATTTATTTCAATAAATGCTGACAGAGTATATATTACAGAGAAGGCATATTCTTAGACATGAATCAAAGTCCAGGTAGGCAAAGTGAACATTTATAACATAAAAATATTTATTAACATACTTTTAAATTTATTTTTGTGTTAGAAACTTGTATCTTCATGGGCATCACTGTTGCAACAGTTTCATCTTCCAAAAAATGTTGAATATTCATAAGAGAAGATGTAAGAAACTCAGTGCTAAAGTTTTCTATATGGCATTGCAGAAATCCATTTTTTTCTGCAAGCAAAGAGTGTATTACAGCACCAGGCCCACTTTCAAATCTCAAAGTAATCTCAGGAGAGGATTTGGAATGAATTACAGCCTCATGATCTGAACCTATTGAAAAAGAATATATAAAAATTATAACTTTGTAGCTCTATTCAAAAATGTCACTCTCGATTATTTGTCATTAAGAGGTTATTGTCACTTTGTACAATGTTACAGCAATAACAGTAAAAGTTTTAATATTTAGCCTTAATTTAAATGATATTACAGTACATATACAACATACCATACACAACCTTAATTTCAATTTTTACAGACAACCTTCTACTGCAATAATGTTGACTCGTCTATATTTTCTATTTTTGGGTAACATGAAAAAACATGCCATGGTATAAATCTAATATGGGGCATAACCGCAGATACTTAAGAGTGTGTCTGAGTGTGTTACCTGTCTATACATTTGTAATGCATTGCTTAATGACAGGGGTATGTTCTGAGAAATGTGTCATTAGGCAAACATCAGAGTGTACTTACACAAACATAGATGGTATAGCCCACTACACAACTAGGCTATATGGTACTAATCTTATGGGAGAACCATCTTATATGCGGTTGTTGACTGAAATGTCGTTATGCAGTGCCTGACTGTATAACAGACCACTGTGATGAAGAAAACACTCATGGCATTTAAAGTGACTCTCAAGCCATTTCTCAAGAAGTAACAGAAGCCTGAAGTTCTGCACCTTCCTCATTAAAATTGGGTCATTAAATAATTGGAAAAGTAATAGAGAAGATCTCATTAAAATGTTTCGATTAGAAGATAAAACAGATATTATAGCAAAAGAAATATATATATATTGGAGAGAAGTCAAGTCTCACTCATTAAGTAGTAGATAATAACAACAACAAACAAACACATAGAGACAGAGATTGGATTGGTGGTTACCAGAGGGGAAGGGGGGAGGGAGGAAGGCAAAAGGGATAAGTAGGCACATGTGAGTGGTGATGGGTTGTAATTAGTATTTGGGTGGTGAACATGATGTAATCTATGCAGAAATAGAAGTATAATGATGTACACCTGAAATTTATGCAATGTTATAAACCAATGTTACTGCAATAAACAAACAAAAAAAAGAAATATATATATATTTACATTTATTTATGCCAAAAAAGAATTGGAGGTGGCTTAGAGAAATAAAAATACTCGAGTTCAAAAAACTTTTTTTAATTTCAATAAAGTACCCATAGAATGTCTAATTTTAAAAAATAAAAGTTCGGGGCCAGCCCAGTGGCGCAAGTGGTTAAGTGCGCACACTCCACTGCAGCGGCCCAGGGTTCGCCAGTTTGTATTCCAGGCACACACCGACACACTGCTTGTCAGGCCACACTGTGGCGGCGTCCCAAATAAAGTGGAGGAAGATGGGCACGGATGTTAGCCCAGGGCCAGTCTTCCTCAGGAAAAGAAAGAGGAGGATGGGCAGATGTTAGCTCAGGGCTGATCTTCCTCACACACACAAAAAAATAGAAGTTCCTACTGAAACTACTGAAGTGAATTGGCCCTCATGGTAACTATTTTGTTCATTTCACGTTACCTAGCTCCAAAAAGAATAGGAGGCAACATGCACAAGGCATAATAAGATAAATAAGTGAACAATGGAAGAGCAAGGATAGAAGGGAAAAGGAAGAGATAGATAGTAAGGTTAATAACTCAAAATACATTATTTGAATTTCTATGCCAAAGGTGGACCAAAAATGAGCTTCCTAGCAGCAAAGAGAAAAGTACAATCAGTTTCACAATTCATGGAATCCATGAGTTAAAAATAAACTAATTGTTCTGGAAAGGCAAAGCTGTTTCAGTTATTGAGGTATCCAAGTTATCTGTCTCATGGGTCCTTATAAGAAGACCCCACTAATTAAATTCATGATAGAAAGATGTTTATTTTCCGTCAACATGGATGTGAATACTCTACTCTTACAGAAGTCAAATGTATACATATTTGTGAAGTGGAGGGGGTGCAAGAAATCAAAGATAGGTATATTTATGCACCAAAGATAGATCTCCATACACAAGTCAAAGTGGACAGTTGTTTTTAAAGTTTTTATTTCAGGTACAGAATGATATTTAATTAATGTTAGTACTACTTACTAACATTCAAAATAAATAAATAATATAGATACAAGAAGAGTTCAAATAAAATTCCAAAGAATCCTTTAAACAATTAAGAATTCACATATTTTTATTTTTTTAAATAGAAGGTAAAAGAAATGGCCACAAACTGATAATGGTTAGTGTTCTTTCCTATATCAAGAAAAAAAGAGTTAATTAGCTTGTCTATTTAACAATCAGAGCAATGAGAAACAACTTGGTAAATGTGATTTTATTTTCTCTTTTATCTATCTATATATCTACATATCTATATCTACACACACACACACACACACACACACACACACACACACACAGAGATGCATACTCCAGGGAGTTGAGAGCTAGAAATAATTTCAAACAAAGAGTATTTATTTGGAACAGAGATAAAACAAAATCTTCATTAGTCATCCTGCCTACTACCTCTTATACCATGCAACTATTACGTTAAGGTCTTCCTGGGAAAGGAATCTGAAATCCACACACTATAGAAAAACAAAAGCAAACAAAAGCAAAAACAACTTTGCAGTTTTCATCATTCCTGTACAGTGACAGCAGTTCATATAAACTATAGATCAAATACACTCTTTGTTCATATGGCTTATCAATGTTTGAAATGTTCAAGCTAAACTATTTTTTTCTCCTTTTCCCATTCCCCTTTCTCCTCCTCCTTCCTTTCTTTCTTCTTGTTTTTTATCATCAAACAACAGAGAGAGTTGAGAAAAAATAAGGCATTAGACAGCACTGACTATATAACCCCAACATACGAGGCACTTCAAAATGATTTCTTCAATAGCAACAAAATGAAACAAAGTGATAGGACATAGTATTAAGTGAGCTATAAAGAGAAGTAAAAAAAATTGCGCAATTGGAAATAATCTAAGAGTGTACAATTTGAAGAGTGTTTGGGTGGAATACAGGACAGGGTCTAGGTTTTGAAATTTTATGTTCAATCTTTTTTTTGTTTTTTATCCACTACAAAACCTTTCCAACTATAAACTTAGCTTACTCCATTTTGCATGCTAATGGGATTTACACTTGCTAATATAAAATTCTTGAAATTTTTAGTAGATACATTGTTAACTCAAGGCCTACACATAGAAAAAAGCCAGAAGTCAATTTTTTTTCATGATGCTGGTTTACAGACAAATGGCACATTTACCTGTAATTCCCAGCATGTAAGGTGATAGCATACTTATTTGATATCATGCAGGACTGTATGTATTTCAACATGTTATGTATCAGACACAGCATTCTGTGTATACAGCAAAGAAAATATTACAGCTCAGTGACTTTTTAAAAGATTTAAAAAACTGAACATTGTCATTTTAAATTCTTAGTATAACTAGTCTAATAAAATAAATTCATTTCTTCAAAGGACTGAAAACCATGAGTGATAACTCCATATAAACTTTGAAAAAGGGATAGTTTAATGTGGTTCCTCTTCATATGCTGCATGTTTTGTTGCTTATATTCCTCTGTGTCCAAGTGAATGTGTTGATATTAGACTAAAGAATCACAAGAACAGGATACATGATTTTTCTAAATACTAAGTATCATGCCAGACTCAGGAAAGGTCTGCTTATAAGCAAGATAATGGAATATAGAAATTGACATCTATCTAGAGTGGAACTAAGTTTGACCTTCTAGGATTACTTTACCACTCTTTTCATATAGAAAATAGCTCAGTTTTCTCAGACCTATTATCTCAAAGAACAGAAAAATTGAAAGAGTAAAAGATGGAAGTTATCAACAGCAGAAACAAAAAGAAATTATATAATACATCTTCAACAGATTATATTTCTAATAACTTAATCAAAATACTTTATGGAAATAAAGTAATCTAAAAGAACAAATCTCTTGCATTATTATGAATAAATGTAATTTTCCTTGAATTCATTTATATCAAAGATAGGACTGCTGATGAGTCATATATATAAAAAACAAAACAAGTTTAAATCACATTAAAGTCTTACCTACTGGACGATTACAAAGGTAATGCCGAAGACTGACATTGCCTAACTGATCTGGCGTCACTCGGTCCACTTGAAGACAGATTTCCGTATCTTCCCCTCGGATGTCAATTTCCCCATTAACACCAGTAATTTTAAACACCACAACTGACATCTAATAATGATTGCATAAATAATATTAGTATACCAAGTGATTCAAAACAAAATTCAAGAAATAATACAGGAAACTACTATAACCCCTAAAAATACAATTGTGACCTAATACACCTAAAATATACTTGCGATCAACAGAACATGGTTATTATATTATAGTGACAAACTTCAGCTTCCTTTCTTCCTATTCAGTCAAGAGAAGAATTTTTTTAGGTCATAAAAATTAAATTATATGAAATTTCCATGAGAAATTACTTTCACTAAAAGCTGAACACATTTTCTAAGTCCTCCATAAGAATACTTCACTGGATGAGAAGGGCTTGAAACAAAATCAATAACATGTTTCTTTTGTAGAAAGCCCTTCACAAGAACTACCATTCTTACCATCAAACTTTTTCAAGTGCATCTATATGGAAATAAAGGTCAAAAAATAAAAGATAAGATGGAAAAAAGAAAGAACCTCTTCTCCTCTATACAAAAAGAAAACAAACCAAATTAAGAAAAGTGAAATTCAGAGAAAAACAATTCAGTGAGAGGGAAGGAAGACTTTTCAAGAGTAGAAAGAACAAAGTGAATCCCCACCATCTAAGTCAACTCATTTTATATATTAATATCTTAAAATCTGTACATATTGAATATGAGATAAAGTTGGTGGATTTCCCTTCATAGCATCTCCCTGAAATGATTACCAGGTCATTATGATTTTCTTGAGCACCCTCTGAATTTGTACTGATGGCATCTGGAGAGGTTTCACCATAATTCTTTAGGTTTGCACTGGCATTTGCACTCTCTGCTGGGCTCTGGTAATTTGTAGTTGAGTTCTTTTCAATACCTAAAATAATCGAAAAATAAACTGATAAATTAAAATCAGTTTTACGCATGATCCAAGAACATTACATTTATCTAACCAAAATGGACTATCCCTTCAACTCTTTCTCAAGCATAGCACTGTTTAACAGACAATAAGCAAAGAAAAATTACATTGTGGTTAGTCAGAAAATAATAAGAAATAAACTCCCACAATAAAATGTTAGCGATACCAAAGCCCTAAACTTAGTATGAAAAGAAATCTACCACAGCTGACCAGAGCCTGTGTCCTCCTCATTGCAGGTGCAGTGCTGGTATAACTAGCAGGTTCCTGGTCAGCCAGCTTCGCCCTCCTCTAAGCTATCCGACACTGAATAGTCCCAGTCTGACCACTTCATTTCCCTTTTCAGTATCCTACAGTAAACTCCAGTTATCTTCTACATGAAGTTTATGTCACTATTATCAATGTGATCATTCTCTATCTTTATCTACCTGACTTAATGTGCTGTAATTCAATACTTCTCAAGCTCTCTGTGGTAAAAGACAATTCTTAAAAAATTTTGTGTCTATCACAGATCAATACTTTTTGAAAATATCAAAAAATGGATTACTATAAAAATTAGATTAGAAAAGCCAGATATACAAAACACAGCCTCAATTTTTTTACCATGATATTTACCATTACATAATCAGCTTCTAACCCAGTGCCTGGCAACGGAGTAGGTGCTCAATAAATTATTTATTGAATCAATGAATAAACAATTTTTAGGGCTATGGAAGATGCATATAAATACAATTGTGGTAAGAGAAGATGATAAACTCCCATTTCACAGGGAGTTCCTAACAGGGGTTAAGAAGCCTTCCCTGATAAAATAATATTTAAACTAAAATAAACAGAAACAAAAAGAGCATTCTAGGCACAGACACAAAGACTGAGGTGAAAAAGTTTGTCACAGTGAATAAACTGAGAGAAAGACTGAAATATACTATAGTACATATGACATGTAGTAAGGACACGGGAAAACAGCAGAAACGGTAAGCTGGGGCCATATTACACAGAGCATTGTCAGTAACATTAAGGTTTTTAAACTTAATAGCCTTATAGCAATGAGAAGTTATCAGGATTAAAATGGAGATTGACATGATAGTATTTACATTTTTAAAAGAGTATTCTGCCTATGGAATGAAGAATGAACTGGCAATTGACAAGCATAGAAGTGGGGAGACTAGTTAGGAGCCTGTGGTGGAGTGGTAATCCAGCTATGTGTTTGTTCATAAATATGTATACATATTCACAATTATGTATACATACATATGTATACATATTCAAAATTATGTATATATACATATGTATATGTGTTATCTGTTTCTATACATATGTGTGTGTGCATATAAAATCATTACAGTTCAGGAGAACTAGGAATACACAGTCACATATCATTTAAATGTTGCATACAAAATCAATGCCCTTATATTTTTCAAGATCCTAAAAATAGTCTACCGCTGGAATCTAAGACAGTAATTAGAAATGCAGACAAAAATTTATGAACAATGATATTAATTAAAGCATTTTTATAACCATAAAAACCTATAAGCAATCTCCAATATCGGGGAAATGATTAAAAGGTTATGGTACATTCTTATGACAATTTAATAGACTTTAAAAATATTTTCAAAAGAGTTTAAATAATATTAGAAAATGCTTACAGGTGATTAAAAAGCAGGTTAAAAAACCATATATGTAGTATGACACCAAATACACATATATATGAATATATACATAACAACTCATAAAATAAACGACAATTGATATATTTAGATTGTGGGACTTTTCGGTTATTTTATTTTCCAAATTGTAGTTGTCTGTATTTTCAGGTTTTCCACAATGAGTGGTAGTCACTTTTATTAATTATTTAATTTTTAGAAATAACAATAAGAAAATCACTGATGGTTTTTGAGAGTAAGTAGGGATATTTTTTACAGGAATAATGTTTTTTTTTTGTGTGTGAGGCGATCAGCCCTGTGCTAACATCTGCCAATCCTCCTTTTTTTTTTTGCCGAGGAAGACTGGCCCTGGGCTAACATCCATGCCCACCTTCCTCCACTTTATATGGGATGCCACCACAGCGTGGCTTGCCAAGCAGTGCGTCGGTGCACGCCCGGGGTCCGAACCGGCGAACCCCAGGCCGCCGCAGCAGAGCGTTTGCACTTAACCGCTTGCGCCACCGGGCCAGCCCAGGAATAATGTTTTTGAAGTATATTTTGATCATAGAACAGAAATCTGTTAAGGTAGGATTTTAAACCATAAAGGGGGCAGGGGAACTAGGCAATAGAGCTATGTGTGAATCTAGAACAGATTTTTTATGACCCATATCAGTACCTCCTCTACATTTAACTGGTAGAGTATGCTGGAAAGGAGATTGCTATGCATTGCCTATAATGGGGTTAGATTAGGGCTTTCTGTTTACATATAGCAATCATTTCCCAAGTCTGGAGGCTAGTATAGCATACTGGTTGGTTAAAAGCTAAGGCTCTTGAGTCAGATTAGCTGAGTTCCAAATCTGCCTCTATTACTTCCTGACTGTATACTAATTTCTCTAAGCTTCAGTTTCTGAAGCTAAGAGCCTTTCCTGACCTAAGCTGTTTTCAACTGTATCAATAGGCTTATTACCCTTTATACACAAAGTAATTCACATTTGCCTCTGGTCTCTTGAGCTTCAGTGTCTGTGGCAACTATTCTCTGGCTATGGCCCATGCTTTTTATTCCTGTTCACAAAGTCCCCAATGCCTTAGTGATGGGGATACATCTAATACTAAGTCATTCCTAGTGGTCTTTACTGAAGCGCTGGTTGCTTCTGAATAAAATGAGGGAATCATGTAGTTCCATCATACATAATCACGTATGTGAGAGAATCCTGGTTATGGGAAACAGTAGATCCAGTCTGGGAAAATTCCAGTCATAGGACCACATAACTGAGAATTCACCACACAAATTAAACCCACCTAATCAAAATTCCAGATAGAGGAGTCTCTGTGATAAAGGCTAGTAGCCTTAATATTGTCTACTTTATGATCTAAATGACAGGGTATACAAATAATTGCTGGATGTCAGGCATAAAAAGGAAGGAGTATTTCGTTAAAAGAAGCAATGGAACAACCATTAGAAAGTTAGGTACCATGCTCTTTGTATTGTGTGTGTATGTATATAAAAATAAGTCTTTTTTGAGCTGTAATTAATTGTTGAACATAACTAAAAATACTTAAACACCACTTCTAAGATTTGTATATATATATATAATATGAATTCTTAAACTGTACTGCTTTACCTTTTTCCAAAAATATATGACTATCACTTCCATCACTTTCTAACAACTGTTCTTCCAATATCATGCTGTCAAGTGAAATGGTATCCAATGAGGTTTGTGAGGAGCTTCTTTTCATGTTCTTATAGGAAACACAGAGTGGAGCCAGATTGGGTGGGCAATGTTCCTTAGGCTTTCCACTGTTAACAAACAAAATTATTAGAAAATCATCACACATATGGAAAAGAATTCTTTCTAAAAATACTTCTAATAAAATAAAAACACAGCTGTCCCCCCCTATTCGTGGGGGAGACGTTCCCAGACCCCCACTGGATGCCTAAAACCATGGATAGTACCGAACCTCATATATACTACCTTTTTTCCTATACATACATGCATACCTATGAAAAAGTTTAATTTGTATATTACGCACAGTAAGAGATTAACAACAATAACTAGGAATAAAATAGAACAATTTTAACAATATACAGATGGTCCCTGACTTATGATGGTCCGACAACGATTCTTCAACTTTACAATGGTGTGAAAGTGGTAAGCATTCAGCAGAAACTGTAATTTGAATTTTGATCTTCACCCAGGCTAGTGATATGTGGTACGATACTCTCTCATGATGCTGAGCAGTGGCAGCCAAGTCACAGGTCCCAGTAAGCCATGCGGTCAACTGCGAGGGTAAACAACTGATACACTTACAACCATTTTATAACCCATACAACCATTCTGTTTTTCATTTTCAGTACAGTATTCAATAAATTACATGAGATATTCAACACTTTATTATAAAATAGGCTTTGTGTTAGATGATTTGCCCAACTGTAGGCTAATGTAAGTCTTCTGAGCACATTTAAGGTAGGCTAGACTAAGCTATGATGTTCAGCAGGCTAGATGTATTAAATGCATTTTTGACAACGATATTTTCAACTTAGGGTGAGTTAACGGGATGTTAACTCCACCGTAAGTCAAGGAAGACATGTACTGTAATAAAACCTACCATAGATCTTAGCAACCTCAGCATATGATTTTTTTTTTTCTATTCTTAAATCGAGAACTTTCTCTTTTCACTAAAGGAAGTACTTTATAGCTTCTCTTTGGCATATGTGAATTGCCAGCATCACTACTCTTGTGCTTTGGGGCTATTATTAAGTAAAATAAGGGTTACCTGAACACAAGCACTGCAACACCTCGACAGTTGATCTGATAACTGAGACGGCTACTAAGTGACTAATGAGTAGGATGGATACAGCATGGATATGTTGGACAAAGGGATGATTCACATCCCGGGCAGGACGGAGTGGGAGGGCTCGAGATTTCATCATGCTACTCAGAGCAGTATGTAATTTAAAACTTATTAATTATTTCTGGAATTTTTCATTTAATATTTTCAGACTACGGTTTTACTGTGGGTAACTGAAACCTCAGACAGTGAAACTGTGGATAATGGGGAACTACTGTACATATATGGTATCCACAAGTTTTTAAATTATATTTTATAAGCTCAAAGTGTTTTCATATTTTGAAAAACCTACTCTTCCATGTGTTAACTCTAACAATGGCATATTTTGTCATGAGGTTCTCTGTCCAAAAACAAAATACACTCACATGCACACATATACACAGCGAAACAAAAACCCCTCAAATTCCAATAGTATGTTGTTTACCTTAATGATGACTGTGATTTAAGTGTTCTAACTGTGGGCGCTTCTTCTTTACTAATTTCCAGGTTCTCAAAGAGTGAAGCTGTTTCTGGAAGCAAGTCTTCAGCTTTAAAGATCAACTCTATGGTTTCATTTCCTTTACTAGTTAAACTATTTGAAAGTATGTTTTGATTACCATCATTATCAAATGATAGCACACTTGAATCTTCTCTGTAGTTTAAGACACTATTTGAATCTGTATAAGATGAATCTTTTTTGTCACTTGTTTCTAATCCAATTTCTCCTGAGCCACTTTTGCAAACAATTCCACTACTTTCATCTTCACTTATTTTCCCTAAACTTTTACCTGATAAATAATCCAGAAAAGAAATACCTTTTTGCAGATTTGTATCACTAGCTGATTTGAAAAGCAAGGGATCCTTCAAAGGGACATAGCTAAGGTCAACACTCATAGATCTGTTGTCTGACATATCATTAACAGTTACACTTCTAATTTGATTTATACTACTAACTTTTCTTTTTGAAGACAAAAATTCTGCATTTTCTGTAGGCAAATAATCAGGAACAATTGGGCTCACACTTGCAGAAACGGGAGACTTAAGAGTATTTGCTTGATCTACTGGATGTAGCAAAAGAGCCACTTCTGCACTTTTAAGTAAAATTCCAATGCAAACGGATGTCTGACTAGCAGGATTGCCAGTCACAGCTTCTACATCTTTCCTTAAGTTCTCTGAAAGCAGAATAAGTGACTCATGGAGAAAAAGCAGGAACAGATACTGGTAGTGATTGATCTGCATACTAACATGTTTATGAATGTGAACCAGGACATGAATATCTGCATCTGATGACGAAGAGGAAAATCTTAAAAATGTATCTGAAGGTTTCTGACTACCATTTGTCAATGGCTCTGACTCTGTACTATAATATTCCTTCAAGAGCTTTTTCCGCTTCAATCGGCCAGTCAGATCACTAGATTCACTTTGTGATGTATTTAGAGATACTCGATTACAGGTCTGCAGCTCTTTTTGTGACACTGCGTACTTTGTCGGTTGACAAATCCAGATGGAAAGAGGGAAAGAGTCTACAAAATTTACTGGTCGTCCTTTTCCACTTTTCATCCCTTCATAATCTATCCAAAATTGAGAAAAGTAGACAGCCCAAACATCCGTGGCAGCAGCAGTTTTAAGAGTGTGTTTATTCAACTTGGGAATAATATTTCCTTTATAAACTTCATGCATTTTGGTATCTTGTTCATGAGCATGTCTCTGGAAGACTGGATGCAGAAGATTAAAATTGTCACCAGATTTGGGGAAGCTAGTATATGTTTTACTGAAAAAGTCACAATCTTTGAAGTCTTGAAACAAAGCTTCTAGATCAGAATGTCGACAGTTTGGACAGTGCCTTGTATTTGTAGCAATCATTTCAGAACTCTGAATGGAAATTGCATGCGGTTGATCTTGATGACATTCAGATTTCATTTCAGAAGGAATGACAAACTAGAAGAGAAAAAACATTCATCTAGTCTAACTTACAAATCCATACATCTAGAATATAAAACAAAGAACATGACTTACTTCAGGAATTCTTTTTCACATTTCCCCCCAAAATACTAACTCTCTCTCCCCAAATCTTTTTATTAAATTGAGTCGAAGGGACTTAAATGATTAACCACTAAGAAAACAACAACTTAAAAAAACAAACATAGGGGCCGGCCCCATGTCGTAGCAGTTAAGTGCGCGAGCTCTGCTGCTGGCGGCCCAGGTTCAGATCCTGGGTGCGCACCAATGCACCACTTGTCAGGCCATGCTGTGGCAGCGTCCCATATAAAGTGGGTACGGATGTTAGCCCAAGACCAGTCTTCCTCAGCAAAAAAAAAGAGGAGGATTGGCATGGATGTTAGCTCAGGGCTGATCTTCCTCACACACACACAAAAAAAACAAAAACCAAAAAACATAAATAACGAATAAAGTACACAACATACATAAATATATTTGCATACAATATATCACAAAATAAAAAGAACAAAATTGAATTAAATGAGCATTACTAAATGCTTACTATGCCCTGAGTACATATAAGAAAGTGCCAAGTTTGGAAAAGGGAATTTTTTTGTTAGGATATTTTAAATCAAATTGACTTGGAGGATGACTGGATGAGTAAACAGAATGACTGAACAGATGTCATTAGAATCATTTTTCTGGGAGAGAACTATTAAGAAAATAACCTTAAGAGGATACATCAAACTATTTACTAAAATAATTTTCCAGAGATAATTAACCTCAGTCCTCAAAATACTGACATTAGAGTTCAAAAGTAACTGGTTTTAAAACTGTTCATACTCAGAAAATGTAAAGATCATTATATAATTGTGTCTTAAATTAAAATTGTAAATGCTTTAAAATGTGTCCCTTTATATTGAATCTTGTAAGATCTCTGAGATCTTTAAAACATTTCTGCAATGCAATTGGTGAGTATTATGAATCTCATTTTACAGAGAAGAAATTAATGGTATATAAGTTGAGTCTACCAGCAACAGATCTAGAAAATGCAATTTTCATCCATGCACAAGTCTTCTTCTATTTACTCTACTACACTAGCTGTTTTTTTAAAAACATTTCCTTCCTTGAAAGTTTAAATATCCACGGAATTCAGATTATCAACTACTTGGCTGTAATAAAAACCAACTTTCTACTATCTTTGGATATTAGTAACGAATAAATGTGAACAAATAAAACCCAGATATCACTCAAAAGCTTCACTGTATTATTTACCCTTCTTAAAAGAAAAATTTTATGAGCTCTGGTAAGAAATAGGAAAAAATGACTGATTTGTATTTGAGCACTCATCTTAAATTCTGGAAATTATAATGCTGTTAACTTTTCTTCTGTAAAAATGATTTTGTTCTCACAGCCACTTGTTTATATGGTACCTTTAGCATTAAGCCATCAATTCGAATATCAACATGCTCATCAGATTTTGAATTGTCATTCAACTTGTATACAGCCATAAATTGATTAAGACTCTGTTTTAAATCCAACAGAAATTGATTTAACCATAGAATACTTCTTTCATCCACAGTAAACTGTAGTGCATTCAGCTGGCTATAAAGGTTGGGAGATGGAACTGTGGAGAAAAAAATTTAAAACAGATTTTTAATGAACAGATAATTCTAAATCTTCCCTGAGAACAGAAAAGACATTTGTAACAAGTGTTATTCTTCCTTAATTAAGATAAAAAGTTTTTGAGATGTTATTTGCAAAATTAAAGTGACATGTGTGGATGATTGCAAACATTCACATAGACAAAAAACATTTTTCTATGCTTCACTAACTGAAAAATATACAGTTTAATCTAAAACAAAATGTATAAATAGGAATCACCATTTAGATTTCTTTTCCTAATGTTATAGCACCACAAAGCACCAAGAAGCAAAACTTCAAAATATCTTACCTTCTTGATGAAGTATCACATCAAAGTTGTGGTCCTTAAATATACTTTTCTGTAAAGACTTTTACTACCTGAATCTTAATCTGAATCCTCTAAAATGAGAGAAACAAGGGGGTCAGCCTGGTGGCGCAAGCAGTTAAGTGCACACGCTCTGCTGCGGCAGCCCGGGGTTCGCCGGTTCAGATCCCGGGCGCGCACCGACGCACCGCTTGCAAAGCCATGCTGTGGTGGCGTCCCATATAAAGTAGAGGAAGATGGGCACAGATGTGAGCCCAGAGCCAGTCTTCCTCAGCAAAAAAGAGGAGGACTGGCATCAGATGTTAGCTCAGGGTTGGTCTTCCTCACAAAAAATAAAATAAATAAAATATAAAATAATAAAATAAATAAATTAATTAAAATATAAAATGAGAGAAACAAGTCTAATGACTAATTTCTTATGAAAGTCGTAAGCTAGGCAGATCTCCTTGAGAGAAGGGACCATACAGTTTTATTTTTAATCCTAAGCCTAGAATAGTGCTTGGTGTAAAGTAAAAACTCAAGCATCTCTTGAATAATGAAATGAATACGCTCTTTTTCATAGCTCCCCAAAATATTAGAATGCTTAGGGGTTGAATAAAATGTTTTTGTGCTAATTTATATTAAACTATTTATAATTAGAGCACACATCACTTCCTGAAATCCACATATATTTGTATCATAAAAGCCATTATCCTTTTCAGAGTACCTTGATGAAGAAATCTTTTATTCTAAAAATTCAGACATATTTCTATCAAAGCAAAAAGTAGGCATATCTAGAACTTTTAGACTACATTAATTTAATGAAAATAAATCCAAGGTGTGGGATAAAGCATTGTAACAATGTCCTAAAAAGGATTTTTTTTGCTTTCATTCATTCATTCATTCATTTTCTTTTTTTTTTCTTTTTTTTTTTTTTTTTAAAAATTTTATTTATTTTATTTTTTCCCCCCAAAGCCCCAGTGGATAGTTGTATGTCGTAGCTGCACATCTTTCTAGTTGCTGTATGTGGGACTCGGCCTCAGGATGAACGGAGAAGCGGTGCCTTGATGCGCACCCGGGATCCGAACCCGGGCCACCAGCATCGCAGCGCGCGCACTTAACCACCAAGCCACAGGGCCGGCCCCATTCATTCACTTTCTTTCAGCATAGATTCATTGAATGCCCACTACATTTTGTGTATTGCGTTAAGCACAAAAAACAAATAAACATGGCATGGTTCCTTTCCTTAAAAAGTTCAGAGACTATTACATGAGACAGACATGAAAGTAGAAAAATTGTAGCTCAAGTCCAACAGAGACATCCAATTAGGATGTAGAAGTGCTTGTCTTCAAGAATAGCAAGGAAGTGGGATACTGAGATCATGTCACACTCTGGAAGAGAAGGAAGGAGAGGGAATCTCCATGCACAGACTGAGTGATGAAGGCAGTCACAGAGACGACTAGAGAGCAAATGTAGTCTCCAAGGCTAGAGCACGAGAGAAAGAAGAGTGCTGACTGCACATCTGGGACAAAGGAAGAAACCTGGTGCACTAAGCATTAGAAAGATCTATGTTCTAACACAGGTCTCCTTATGAAATAGATTATTATGTAGCTCTTAAAGATATTTAAAATGAACTTGCAGGTAAAAGTTCTCATCACAAGCAAAAAAATTCTGTAACTAGGTATAAATAGGAAGTTATGGTGATGAATGTTAACTAGACTTATTACAGTGATCATTTCACAATATTTACAAATATCCAATCATTATGTTGTATACCTCAAACTAATATAATGTTGTATGTCAATTATACCTCAATTAAAAAAAAAAGAACTTGTAGAAACCAGAAATATGCTCATATGATTAAGAGAAAAGGATAGGATATGAATCAAACATGTAAAAGAAACACATATATTAAAATACAGGACTAGCAACACTATACTTACTGTTAAGATCTGAACTGTGTCCCCTCAGAATTGATATGCTAAAGTTCTAACCCCCAGTACCTCAGAACGTGACTGTATTTGGAGATAGGGCTTTTAAACAGGCAATTATGGTAAAAGTGAGTTCATATGGGCGGGCTCTAGTCCAATATGACAAGCGTCATAAGAGGAGGAGGTTAGGAAACAGATACACACAAAGACAATGTGAGAAGACAGCCATCTACAGGCCACGTAGAGAGGTCTCTGAGGAAACAACCCTGCCAACGCTTCGATCTAGGACTTTTAGCCTCCAGAGCTGTGAGGAAATAAATTTCTGTTGTTTAAACCATCCAGTCTGCCGTACTGTGTTATGACAGCCCCAGCAAACTATACGTGAGTATAGTAGCACTGTAAGTGCTACACTTATACGTGAGCAGAAGTTTTCTCTAAATTGTAGGCTCATGGGCAATTTTTTATTTTTGGCATTTTCTTTCTTTTTTTTTAATATAATGAACATATATTACATTTACAATTGTAAAAAAAGTTACATATATATATTTTTAAGTTGGATCGCTTAAGAGAGAGATGAAACATGAGGATTGAAAATGGATCCCTGTACACGGGGATTCAATATATATCTTCTTTACTTTTGCATGTTTGAAAGTTTCCATAATAAAAAGTTAATTAAAAACAGTTAAACACAGCCTAGCAATTCCACTCCTAGGTATCTAGGGGGCTAGGGTTTAAATTGCTTATATTTTTATTAGAAAAAATGTATAGATTACAAAATGGCATTATAATTCCTTTGGCACACATTAACAAAACTGATAGAAATAAACCTAGATTAGTAGTCAGAAATCCTGGAAACTAGTTTTCACTCTGAAGAAAAATTACTAGTTCAATGATGCATTACTTAAGGAAAACAATTATTTGGGGTGGGAGGGCTGGAAACAATGGAATTATCCAATTACAGATGAATGGCTGAGAATACCCCAGAACACCGTGTAATATAGTGGGGGGAAGAAAAAAACAATGAATTTCGATTCAAAAGACTCATGCTTGAGTTTCAGCTGTGCCATTTTACTCTTTTATATAAGGTGTTGAAAAATGTCTTAACCTGTTTTAATTTTCTCATCATTTTAGTCAGCAAGGTAGGAAAACAAATGAGAAATACACAAAAGACGGTTGAAAAGCATGAAGACAGTGAAGATTAGATCCCAAAAGTTTGGCACAAATGAGGATTAAAACGATAAAATAGTTCAACATCTGTTTCTCCAAATTCCAGGCTACTTTCTTTTTATTTAACAACAAAGGCATGAGCATTAGAAATTCCCTTTGAAACTAGAAACCTATATCAAGTCAATATTAAACAAATGGTTAAGTAGATCAAAGTATTTTGGAGTTCCACTTTTTTTTTTTTTGTGATGAAGATCAGCCCTGAGCTAACATCCATACTAATCCTCCTCTTTTTGCTGAGGAAGACTGGCTCTGAGCTAACATCTATTGCCAATCCTCCTCCTTTTTTATTCCCCCAAAGCCCCTGTAGATAGATGTATGTCATAGTTGCACATCCTTCTAGTTGCTGTATGTGGGACATGGCCGCAGCATGGCCAGAGAAGCGGTGCGTCGGTGTGCGCCTGGGATCCGAACCCGGGCCACCAGCAGCGGAGCACGCGCACTCAACTGCTAAGCCACAGGGCCGGCCCCTGGAGTTCCACTTTTAAAGAGAGGACATAAAATTTGTTTCTCCAATAACATAACCTATTTCATTTCAACACTTTTTCTCAGCTATAATTTTCAACCAAAATAATGAAAAAGGTACCACATAAACAAATGCAAATTTTAGTTTGAAGAACTCCTGGATGAACTGAGATAGAATTTTAATACTCAAAAAACACAAATGTATAATCATTTTAACTTTAGGAAGCCAAAGTAGCTTACAAATAAAAAAATTCATGTAATTTAATTTTTCTAACTAAGGACAGGAGCCAAAAGCTGTCCAAGGTACACACCTGGGCTTTAAACACTAGCCCCCCAAATTCCTTATAGCTAAAAGAATAACTTCATTATTCATTTTTCAATGAATTATAGTGAAATATAAATGGAGTTTTGATATAGTGAAGTGAAATATAAATGGCGTTTTACCAAAGGGAAAAAAATGACGTTGTTTTACAAATAACCTAACTTTCATTCATTCTTTCATTTAACAAACAGCTACTAAGCACAAAAATGAGTTAAACCTCAGGAATAAAATGAAGCATGAATACTACATGATTCTTGACAACAAGGATGCTAACAAGCTAGTGAGGAAAAAGAACATATGAACAAATAAGAATGTGTAAAAATGCTATAATAGAGTTATATACTAAACACAATGAAAACAAGGGTAAAGAACAATGGACTTTTGTTTCATTTTTCACATTGATAAAACTCAAAAACTTAGCAAGAAAAAAACAACTTCCCAAGTAATGGACAAATAATAACAAAATAGGAACTCTCTTACTTGGAAAATCCTTTCCATCCGGATAGTAATATTCTGTGAATTCTACATAGACAGCTGACATTTCTTGTGGAAGATACAGGGATTTTTTATTGCAAGAAATCATACTTTTGGGGGAAGAACGACATTGTTCTGCTGTAGAGACCTGAAAAAGAATTAAGTTTATTGAAGTAACACTGAATAGTCCTTTCCAAAGACTTCATGTCACATGGACATCACTTCGACCCTTAAAACTATTTCCGATAATTTATTAATGGTTAATTTCCAACGCAAACTTTACTATATATATATCTTCACATTAAATTATTATTATTTTTTTTTTTGCTGAAGAAGATTTGCCCTGAGCTAACATCCATTGCCAATCTTCCTCTTTTTTCGCTTGAGGAAGATTAGCCCTGAGCTCACATCTGTTAGCTCTACTTTACATGTGGGACACCACCACCACATGGCTGGTGAGTGGAGCAGATTCGAACCCAGGATCTGAACCCATGAATCTGAGAGACCGAGGGGGAGCACGCGGAACTTTTTGAACCACTTGGCCACAGGGCCAGGCCCATATTAAATTATTTTTAAATAATACCAATCAACTATTGAGAAAACTATAACCTCTGTGGAGTCTTATCAATTACAAAACCAACTTGGTACAACATTCCCTGCAAACTTACTATTTTGAGCGTTAAAATAACAGAGTATTTCCACAAGGTAATACAAATAAGTAAATGGCAGATTCAGGACACTGATCTAAGTCCTCAAGACCAGAATGTTTCCCCAGAATGTACTTTCTAATAATTTTTTACTATAATTTCTTTATTATTATGAAAAATAATATAGCTATATAGAGTTTGAGTTTGGAATAGTAAGATTACGGAGATGGACAGTGGTGATGGTTGCACGACAATGTGAATATACTTAATGCCGATGAATCGCACACTTAAAAATGGTTAAGATGGTAAATTTTGTGTTATGTGTATTTTACCAAAATAAAAATTTAAAAATAATACAACTATAAATGCTTCTGTCAAATAGTTTGATCTCTTAAATTATTTTTCCAAACACTATTAGTTTTAAGGTTCTTGTTACACCTTTTCACTCTTCCCCCAAAACAGCTAATTTACCATTACATCAAAAATGTATATAGTGGGCCGGCCCCGTGGCTTAGCGGTTAAGTGCACGCGCTCCGCTGCTGGCGGCCTAGGTTCGGATCCCAGGCGCACACCGACACACTGCTTCTCTGGCCATGCTGAGGCCGCGTCCCACATACAGCAACTAGAAGGATGTGCAGCTATGACATACAACTATCTACTGGGGCTTTGGTGGAAAAATAAATAAATAAAAAAAATTAAAAAAAAAATGTATATAGTAATTTCCCCAAAGTTCAACCAATAGAGTTTTATCAATTTCATTTATTTATGCTTGTTTAATAGACCCGGGGATGTATCTCAAGGTTATGTTACTTTTTTCCATTCATTCAACAAATGTGTATTTCTCACATGAAGTGGAATGTTTTTTCAATGGTTTATTTATGTTTCCTCTTGTATAAACTGCTAATCAAACCTTTTATTTGTATAGTCTTTATAAATTTAAGTCAGTTTCTTACGTTATCTAATTAAGAAGTTTTCTCTGCCTATACGGAAACAAATCTTTTTCAACTCCAAGCGTCAAGTTATTTTAATAGATAAGAGCTTATTCCCTTTTCCTTTTAATAGTTGAAAAGTTATTCAAATTGGGATGCATGTACTATTTTATTTTCTTCTGGTTACTTTGATTTGTTTGTTTTGTTTTGGTGTGTTTGTGTATGTGTGATTTCTTTACTGTATTTCATTTCACCCTCAACCATTTGGGATTCTGGGTGATTCCCCACCCCATTTCCATATGAATTTACTTAAATCTTGTAATTTAAAGTCTGCTTCAAATAAGCTGCATTATACATAGAATGTAAAGAAAGAAGCAACTGTACAAGAAAATAACTGTTAAATCAAGGTTTCTCAAAATTGGCACTATCGACATTTTGGGCCAGATAATTCTTTGTTGTGGGGGCTGTCCACTGCATTGTAGAATGTTTAGCAGCATCACTGATCTCTACCCACTAGATGTCAGCAGCAACCTCCTCCAGCTGTGACAACCAAAACTGTCCTCACACATCGCCAAATGTCCCTTGATGGGCAAAACTGGCCCCACTTGAAAACCACTGAGTAAAATGAAAACTTTCAGATAAAGCTAAGTCTTAAAGCCACAGGCTTATCAAAATAAACCAGAACAATTCATAAATGATAATACACATCTGAAATTCTTTATTTTACTTTTCAACCTAGGTCATATATTCTATTGTATTGGTCTCAAGGATCGTGATGTAATACCATGTTGTAGGCTTACAGCCTGAATAAGACTGTTAGTATAAATGGGATAGAGTTCTTAGCTATAAAATTATGTTCACAGGATAGCCAATACTTGGTAGTTCAATAAAGCAAAAAAAGTATTTTAGTTTCTTCCACTAAGACCATTGTGTAATCAGGAATCTGGCCTCCAAAGAGAGGTCTGGCCTTTGTCCCTGCTCCTGGAAGGTAATTCTAAACTCTTGGAATTTCCTATTCATGGTGGACTCCTGGGATCACAAGATGACTCAGAGTAGGGCTGGCCACACTTGATAGTCTTAGTAATGTTTAGAGGGTGGAGATTTTGGGTCACCTGTTAACAGTCCACCTAGAGACTGAGTTCAACTACATCAGCAATATTTCATGCATATTGTTACACATCCATGCTGGGAGGCTAATATGTCCTGAGGACAAGGAAGTTCCGAATTTGGAACCCTCTCAGACTCCACTCTATGCTCTTCCTATGGCTGGTTCTAATTTGTATTCTTTCACTGTAACAAATGTGACTCAGTATAACTGATTTCACTGAGTTCTATGAGTTTTTCTAGTGAATTCTTGAATCTGCTGGTAGTGTAGGGAAATCCCCAGAAGACTTCTGGTGTCAGAAGTCTCGTGCAGACTTGGCAGTCTAGAGGACTGTGCCCTTAACCTTACAGTTTACCTAATTCTGGGTAACCATATAAACAAAAATTAATGAACTGATTTTTTCTTTCCTGTCTAATTTAGCCATTTCACAAAACTGGTCAAGACATTTTTAAATAAAATGGTGGCATTAATTTATAAAAGTTGCTTGCAGGAGGTACCAAACGTGTTTATCAGAAGATTTAATTTAAAAAATAAAACATACCTGGTATATATTGAAATCTGCAAGTCTAACCACAACCGAACTAGACATTAACTTTGCTTTGGATTGTTCGGATAACACAGAAGGTGTTCTGGAAGTCCCTTTTAGAGTTGAGTCTTTCTCTGTGGGAAACAAAAACTCTTCAATTTATTGCAGAATTATGTTTAACAGTCACTCTTTCATTATTAAGACAGCTACTAGAAATACAGATGAACCCTAATTTCTCAAACAAGATAATATATGTGGAAATACTTTATATATCAACTGATACAGGACTCTAAGTTATTGTGATGATTATTTTTTTGTGTGTGATGATTATTCTTTAAACAAGAATCATACTTACACCACATTTAAGATATGCTCATACAATAATTTTTGGCTAGAATTCTTGTTAAAAAGAGAGATTTACTAGCCATTCAGGAAATATTCCACCTGGGTATTACTCTTATAGGTAATTTAAAAAGTGCTTTGGTCCATAAGCCTATGGTCTGAATGAGGTGCAGGATTTTTAGATATTAATTAAACATACTTTATTTATAGAAAATATCACATTATGATCACACACACACACACACACACACACACACACACAAACACACACACAACATTAGGGGAATGCCACAATGTTGTTATAGGTAAAATACCTGTTTGTGTGTGCTGGGGAGAGGCATGTGTTGGGGATTTAGGAGGTGAACCTACATTATGATCTTTTACAGCCTGTTTAAGCATTTCAACGTTGCACTCAAATTCATGTAACAACTCGTTGGCCCATCCATTTTTTGTCTTGGTTGCATCACTAAAATACATCCAATGATTACAACTATCTCCTAAAAAATGAATAACAGGTATTTCACTAAAAATGCACAATTTTCATTTATTCTTTTATAGCAATGCTTCTAATGAGATTTATTCATTTTCTCAAGGGATTCTTTCATCTTCCAGTAAATTTATAGCCTTCGCCTATAAAAGATTTTAATTTTCCTAGAAAATATGAATAAAACATTTAGAATAGAGGGACAGACTGTCAAAAGCAAATAATTTGGGAGAGTTTCTATCGAGAATCCATCCTTGGAAGAACATCACTCAAAGTTTCAATTAGAAGCAGCACTGCTGGTCAGCTTTCACTGAATGCTCAACCACTTGGCATACCTCCATTGGACAAAATCCCAGAAAATACCATCACAGAAAGAAGTCTTTTCATCAGAGATTTGTTGTAAAGTGACTAACAAAAACCTATCCTTAAAAATGATAAGATAAGGACTGTTAGAAAACTTAAGAAACCAATAAAAATTCTCAAGATGGATATCAGATATAAAGATATAGATATATCTGTATCTATCTGTATCTATATACATAATGTTTTTTGGAAGGAAAATAAAAAATCAGATTAGGTTTCTCTGTAGCAACTAAGAAAAGTATTATGTACATAAAAGGGTTAAGAACACTTCATGACTGAAAGTCATAATATGAATGATTTCTGTACTTAAAAATATATTAAGTATATGTAAGTAACTTACGAATCAGGAGGACAGAATGTAAGACAAAGTCCTTCAAATGAAAATCAAATAGTATAACCTTTAAATTATGTCAGGTACTGACAGAGAAATGACAAACACTGGGGCCGGCCCTGTGGCTGAGTGGTTCAATTCAGCGCGCTCTGCTTCAACGGCCCGGGTTTGGTTCCCAGGCACAGACCTACACCACTCATGGGCAGCCATGCTGTGGCAGCGACCCACATATGAAAAATAGAGGAAGACTTGCACAGATATTAGCTCAGGGTGAATCTTCCTCAGGAGAAAAAAAAAAAAAAAGAAATGGCAAACAATGGGAGATAGAAACTTGTGAACAGAAAAATTTTATCATTTTTTAAAATCCTGGAGGGACCGGCCCAGTGGCATAGCGCTTAAGTACGTGCGCTCCACTTTGGCGGCCCAGGTTTCGCAGGTTCGGATCTCGGGTGCACACCGATGCACTGCTTGTCAAGCCATGCTGTGGCAGTGTCCCATATAAAGTAGGGAAAGATGGGCACGAATGTTAGCCCAGGTCCAATCTTCTTCAGCAAAAAAGAGGAGGACTGGTGTTGGATGTTAGCTCAGGGCTGATCTTCCTCACAAAAAAAAAAAAAAATTAAAAAAACTAAAGTCCTGGAAAACTCATTATAGTTATTTGTTTCTTCTTATTTGTGTGAATTAAAAAAAAAAAAAAAAAAAAAGCCACATTCCACCAAAATGCAGAGATGGCTATAAGGTCAAATTACTTAATTTGGCCATAAACATACATATATTTTGTTGTTAATATTAGGAAAAGAACCTATCAATATTTGACTATTAAAGAGCCTATTAAATTAAATTAGCTATTAAAGTCTTATTTATCGATGAAATTTAGAAAATACAGAAAAGCTTAAAAAATGTTCCTGAACTCCAACAACTTAGCTAAAATCATTGTTATTCTTTTGCTTTATATTCTTTTTTGATTTTTTTATATATAAATATATTATTTAAAAATTCAAAACATTAATAACTTGCTTGTAATTAGTATTTTGGTGGTGAACATGATGTGGTCCATGCAGAAATAGAAGTACAATGATGTACACCTGAAATTTTTACAATGTTATAAACCAATGTTACTGCAATAAACAAAAATTAAAAAAAAAAAAAAAAAATAACTTGCTTTTGTCACAACTAATAAAATAGCACAAATATATATCCTCTGTATTGCAATATAAAATCCATGAATATTTTCTACAGCAATTACATTTTCTTGGTAAGATATTGCCAGGGGAAAAACAATAACAAATGTGTTGATCTCTTTTCTCCTTAAAAAATTAAATTGAAACAAAATAAAATAAAACAAAATGAAATAAATTGGCTATATAATTTTAAAGCAAGGTTTATATCTTTAAAAGAAATTGTTATACATACCTGCCTTGTGATAAGGATAATAATCTATAGTTAGTTGTGTAAAAGACAGTTGCATAGCCCCTCCAGTAATACGTCTGTTTGATTCTAGGAAAAGAAAAGGATGGCATTGAAAGAGAGAAAGAAAAAGAAACAAGCAAATGTAAGAAACACTTAATTTACCATACTTGCAGTCTAAGCAGTGATAACTGTCTCTCTGTTATCATGGAAAATACATTAAGGATTTTAGGAAATGCAATTCAATCTAATAAGTATTTATGGAGCCCCTATCATTTGGAAGGTACTAGGCTAAAAGGTAAGGATACAAAAATAGCAGAACATTTATATTTACAGCCCTAACCATATGGCAAGCATTGTTTTAAATACTTACAGGTATACTTACTTATTTGCTCTTCATGACAACTCTATGAGATAGATACTACTATTATTATGCCCATTTTTTAGATAAGGAAATTGAGACACCAAGTTAACTAAACAGACCAAGGGCATACAGCCAGTAAGTGTAGAGCTGGTTACGAACCTAGGAAATCTTAACCACTACACTATATCATCCTGCCTTCTACCGAAGAAGAAACTGAGTCTATCAGATTCGGTATGTTATCCAAGGTCACATAGCCATATTAAGATCAGAAATAGATCACAAGTCAGTGTAATTCCAACATAAAAATCAAGTTTTAAAACAGCACGGACAAATCAAATACAAATTAAGATACAGCTATACACACACTCTCTACGTTAATTTGTTAACTCTAACTTATCTCAACTAGCATTATTTCTAGTACAGATCTACAATCCCTTATTTAAAACCCTTGGAGCCAAATGTTTCAGAATCCAGAAATGTTTTAGACTTCATGAAAGTAATATGGTATATATACACAAGGCATATCATACAACACTCCTAGCAGGTTCTGAGGAAGCACTAAGTAATAAAAAATAGTAATTCTGCAGCAAAACTCGGATATTTTCACTAAGTGGGTAAAATAAAGATGATAAATGGCCAAGTGTTTGTTTAGGTCAAGTTTTGTCAGCAAACAGTTTTTCAAACTCATGAAAAAACAATTCAGACCTTTCTGGATTTTAGAATAGCAGAGAACTGATTAAAGAACTGATTATGTATCTTTACTACAAGGGAAATATTTTGCTGGAGGGGTTTCCCCCTTAAATAACATCATTCGGCTTATTCTATCTATGAGTGAGTAAGGAATGTAAAAGAGCTTAGAAAACACTTTTCTCTGTTCTTTTGCTTATTACTTAACCTTGACCCCCTCATTTTGTTATTTTGGTTTGTTTTCACTTTTTTGGATTTTCCTTTCAAATCATTAAAGCAGAAAATGCCAACTGTAAGTTAAATAACACAAAGGTGACAAAGGAAAGACAACAAATCCCTCTCCAAACTCCAAATCTTCCTCACCTTTTCTGCTCTACCTTTTTATCTGGTAGCTGATACCCAGCTGACTTGTCTGATGAAGGCAGGATAACTTCTACTGCTAAGCACCCAGGGTGGGTCTCAATATTCACTCTCTCAGTTTTAAAAATCCAGAGCAACGATTTTCATAGATATAGATTCTGATTCAGGTCTGAGGCACACAGGTCAGCTATCTCCATTTAAAAAAGATCCTCAGCTTGATTCTCACGCTCAACAAAGTTTGAGGACCACTGTCCTAGAGGACTACCTGCTGAACCCTTTCAACGCTTATGGGCCAGGGACACTCTCTGATGGAGAAACAGAAATGCCCAGCACCTAGATTACAGAACCACAGATTTTCAAAGTGACCAAGAGCAGCTTCCTACTTATCCCACTACCTGTGTCTACTAAATAAGGAAAAATAAGAGAAACAAAAGCTAAAAGGAAAGGAAAAAACCTTTCTAACTGGAGTTTAGCTTCCTAACCAAATTTTGGGAGGATTTGAGGGCAGAAGACACAAGAAATGTTAAACAGCCACATAAATTGTGTTTACACACACATGGGGTCAGAAAAATGTAGATAAACCACCATGCTGAAAACACATATGCAAATAATTATGAACTGAGTATAGACTAAAATATAATTTATGGACAATTTCAACTTATGAAAAAGTTAATTCAAAGGCAGGTCTAATATTTCATCATCCACCAAGGAATTGTGCTGAAGTACTAACTACTAAAGCAAAATCAAATTTCATATCACATATAATGCTTAAAATTACATCTTTCATCTACGTATCTCATATGAATGATAAAATTATGACCAGTTATCTGATACTATATACTACATATTATATATGATTAAAAAATCCAGTTTTGTAGTAAATTCTAGAAAAACCAAAATAGTTTGAAATAAGTAGCTTTTATTACCTTTTTCTTTAGCATGAATATCATCACATATGTGTAGATCTAGATGAGAAATCACTAAATGATGGGAAGTTTCTTTAACATCAAAGTCATTGAATAGTTTCACAATTGCATCACTTAGATCAGGAGCATTTGAAGTCTGTGGTGTCTTCACGTGCTGGGTAGATGGGGCTACTGTAGAGCTCTAAAAGATTAAAAACTGCCTCATCACTGCAAGTTAAATATTTGAAATTCCCCACGCAAGAAAATTTAAATATTTTTTGAGATAAAGTAATAAAAAAAAAGCTAATATATTTTCTTTTATATCAATAACTCAGTTCTCCTAAAATATTTTCTGAATTATATAGAAATAAAACAGAAATCTAAAAACTGGAGAGTTACACAATTTGAATATAAACCCAATATATTTTGGTAAATAGCTGAATAGTTACATTTACATATTTATAGTCCTTATTTTAGAAAACATATTTATTAACTATTAAAGATAGCTTATTTGAATATTAGCTCTACATATTAAAAAAGAAAACAAATGTGAGCCCTGTACACATCAGCTGCATACACTGTTATACATCCTGTAGAAATAAATCACTTCCTTGTAAAAGTGCTTGTGATATTATTTAGTACTGTAAGTGCTCTGGTACCTCTCATAAGAGGCGTGGTATGTCTTTTGAACCTGGATATCTGAAGCCAGAAAGCAGAAGAGATTTATAATAGATTGTGAGTTCAAAGTCTTTTCTCCCCAAAGAGAAAAAGCATCGAATACTGTCGAAGTGTAAAGACACATGTAACCCTCTAATAGCCTAAAATAATTCTGCATACATAAGTATATTGCGAGATGATCTGATATATTAGCCACAGAACTGTACACGAAACTTTGGCAATAATTAACAAAATTAAGACCAAATTTTTCATTAAAAAAATACTGAAAACCTTCTAATTAACAATTCATTAATAAAAGTGTAGTTGCTTATTTATGGAAAATTAAAGTATGTATTATGTATGTATACATATTTACACCTATCTATTAAAAACTATGATCATACTGCAAAAGAATTTCAAAGTGTACTCAGTAAATGAGAATCTTTCAATGAAAACGATTGGGGCCTACGGTAATTAAAGAAAAGGAAAGATGAAATATAGTTGTAAAGCCTTAAATTCTAGGGGCTCAAGTAAAACTTTTTTACTAATTAATTGTTAAACTGACTTTTTAAACTGATTTTTTAAAATCACTTTTTCTTATGTTTTTCCCCATCCACTTTCAAAGCCTTAAGAGACTACTATTTATGTCTATGACGGTACTATTTTGAAAGAAAACACTCTCCTGTATTTCTTCAATTACGTTTTCTCTCTTCTTCATCAAGATAAATACTGATATAAAGAAAATATAAACATTAATCTTCCT